GTGTATGTATGTATATATGTATTTTTTTTTTTGTTTGCTTAGTTCCTTTGACATCTGATAAAATAAAGTCAAGTAAACTTTGTAAAGAGCGCCATCTCATGTAATAAAAATGTCACTGCTCAGTGAATTTAGTGTGCCGGTGAATATCTTTCCAACCAATCAGAAGTGAGAATATTGAGATGTTGGAAAACTGACCAATAGGCGCTTACGCCATTTGCGTCAAAAAAAAAAAAACATTTKCTTTGCATTGTGATGCAGTAGATCTGGGGGAAAAAGTGGTTTTTATGCTTTGAAAAAAAAAAGTTAGGTCAGTTTTATATTTGCAGAAACGAAGCGTGAGTATAAATATTGTTTTTTTATTTGTGATTTTTAAGTTGTTTAACATTTTCAAAGACCACCGTGTTGTAAACAGCTAATGGATAGCATCGCTAGCTAACGGCTAACATGCTATTCTTTGCTGTGAGAATGATCATTTTTATTAATATTTCACAAAGTATTGGGAAAATAGTTATGTGTTATGTCTGCAAAATTTTCGATCAAAACCAAATGAAAAGATTACAAGCAAGTTTCGCTCCTTGGACGCAGAAATGTTTGAAACTGAGTTTTTGTTCAGTTTTACATATTTACTCTCAGTATCGTTATGCTTTTGTTTTCACAGGAATGAGCGTTAAATTCCTACAAAGATGAAGGTGGTGAATTTAAAGCAAGCCATTCTGCAGGCGTGGAAAGAAAGATGGAGTGATTACCAGTGGGCCATTAACATTAAGAAAAACTTTCCAAAAGGTGCAACATGGGATTACCTCAACTTTGCAGGTTTGTCTTATAAAATTCACTTGACTTCAGTTGGCTTTACATGTCACTGCTAATTTTGCTGGTGTTGCATTTCAGAGGCTTTAATGGAGCAGGCAATGATTGGTCCCTCTCCCAACCCACTCATTTTGTCTTACCTCAAGTATGCTATATGTTCACAGGTAAGAAAAGWACCATTGCAAAGACGAAGCGTGTACTTCACTAGTTAACAAATTGTAAACCTTATTCTCTCTTGTCGTAGATGGTGTCTTATTCCAGTGTGCTCACAGCCATCAGCAAGGTAAATTTATGATCAGTTACACATGTGAGGTAATGGAGTTGACTGAAAGAACTGCAGACTTTATACAAATGTGTCTCTTTTTAAAATAGTTTGATGGTTTTTCTCGGGAACTGTGTGTCACATCGTTGTTGGAGATAATGGACATGTTCTGTCATCGTCTCAAGTATGTACAATTATCATCTCATATTTTATTACACATTAACCACCCAACACAATTTCACTTGATACTTCAAGCTCCTATAAGTTTAATAATTTAAAAAAATATTTAAGCTTTATTCTCATCACTCGTGTATTGAATTGTGCTAAGAGGTCACTATCTACTAATCAGTATCACAGCTAAGAGAAATATGACGAAACTTCAATTTTTAGTTAAAGTGCCACCTTCGTATTCAGCATAATCTCTGGCTCATCTGCCTTTTTTTGTTTGTTTGTTTGTTTGTATTCTATATTGTCTTTATTTTTATTCTTTGTAGCGATTTGAAGGGTTTCTTCCCATCCTAAGAATTTCATTGCATTGTTGACTCTTGTTAACCTGCATATGACAATAAATTAATCCTGAATCCTTTTTGTTTTACTCCCTCAGCTGTCATGGAAAAGCAGAGGAATGCATCGGGCTGTGTCGGGCCCTGCTGGGAGTGGTTGTGTGGCTGCTCCATGGCTGTGCRTTTTACTGCGACAAGCTGAGAGAACTGGGTCCATCCGCCAGCACAGAGTCCATCCTCCAAGCATGCCAAGAGAGACTTCACAACCTGATGAGCAGCACCAAGATCAGAGCCCTGGTTCACATAGCCCGGCTGGAAGATCAAGGTGTCAGAGTTGAATGAACACATGAGGATTTGAATAAAACATATTGCAGGTCAAACATATCGTAGCCGCCTATCTACACTTAGTGTTTCTTTCTGCTGCTCTTTGTTCACAGGTTCCTGGAACAACATTGAACAAGCAGTGCTTAAAGTGACAGAAAGCCTCTGCAATGTCTCCAACCAAACACTGAGGACTAAATTAGAGGAAAGTGTGTCTTTAGTTAAAAGGTGAGTGTTCCTCAGTTACACAGATTYAATGAACTCTTACCTAATTTCCCTCTGGGATCAATAAAGTATTTTTAAATTGAATTGAATYGACATTGGTTCATTTTAAAGACCATCACAATCCAGCTTGTTTGAGCTAATTCTCTATTTGTGTCCCCTCAGTATTCCCCTGATGCTTTCTGTGCAGTGTGACCTGCCTGTCCGTGCCTCCTTTCCTTCAGTTCATGCATTCATCATGCTGGAAGGGACCATGAATTTGACTGGGGAGGTACAGCCGATGGTTGAGCAGCTCATGATGATTAAAAGAATGCAGGTAATTGTTAAGTTGTGGAAAAGTGCAGTCTGTCTGTCTGTTTTAAATGACATTTTCAACAGAAAAATAAGCCTTTGAGAGCTTTCAGTGGGAAATATATGCTACAGTGTGGCAGAAGAACTTGTTTTAAAGATCTGAGTGTCCTTAGCAGAGGCTGAAGTGTGATATTTATACAGCTGAATATTACTGTAGATCTTGTAGGATCCCTCTGGTTAGTGTGGCTGAAAACTTTTAGCTTTTTGTAGTTTTAGTTGCTGAATAAAATACAATGCATTTATATCATGTGAAGAAATTTAAATAAAACTTTTTAAGTATTTGTACATTCCTCTTAAGACTGAATGTTGCATCTCTGGAGCATTGCTTTTCAGTAATGCTTATTTTGGATATGGCTCAGTAAGCCACTTTAATTAGTAAACATCCAATATGTTTTATTTTTCATATATTTAAGATTTCAACCAAGCGTGTGTGTATGAATGAATGAATGAATGAATGAATGAATGAATGAATGAATGTTTTTCAATTATTAAAACTTGTCAAGGTTTCCTTGTTGTTCAGCCCACATTTAGGGTTGTGAGCTATTGTACAATAGTTGCAAATATTAGTTAGATTTTTATTTTTTTTTTTATTACTGTTCATTTTATGCCATTATTGCGTTGTAAAATTATTCACGGGTTAAGAAAAAACAGATGTGCTCTAAAGGGTTGTATGTAATACTGGATCATTTGTAGCGGTGCAACGATACAGAAAATTCACGGTTCGGTTCGATACTTTAGTCTCACGGTTCGATATTTTTTCGATACGAAAAAACAGAAATTCCCATGCCCTTTTTTAACTTGTAATTTATTGAAATTATTTATGAACATTTGTTGAACCTCAGAAGTACCGTTTTTAAATTAAATTTAAACTTAAAATTTGCTGAAACAGCAAGTTTCTCAGTGGATCTGTGCTCAAAAATACAGCCTAGGTGGAGTAGTCGAACACAGATCCACTGATCCTTTAACACAGWGCATCTTCAGGACGTATTGTTCGATACAAGTGTGTATTGAACCTAAAGCACTGTATTGAACGGTTTGATATGGGTACATGTATTGTTGCACCCCTAATCATTTTTTAAGTATTTGAATGGTATTTAAATTTTTTATCTTTTCTTCCAACTAGGGCTGTCACAAACGATTATTTTAATAATCGATTAGTCGTCGATTAATCGACTAATCGTGGCCGCCCTACTTCCAACAAATATCTTCTATTTTTTTTTTCTTTTCTTGTTCTGTTGTTAAAATGTGAAGATTTTTCCATGCTAGTGTTGTTTTTAGTTTTGGTATTAAAACAATCAAGTCCAAAGAGGCCCATTGTGTTGTGTTATTTGAAGACAGTAAGAGAAGGACTGACATAAATAGTGTTTTTCATCACTCGGGTGCCATCAAAACACAATTTATGTGGATAGTAATGAAAACATTTTGTTTCTGTTAGTTACTCATCTTTAATAGAAATGATTGCAGTCAAGATGAATGATTATAAATGTGAATCTCACGCTCTTTGTGCTTTATTTGTTGTGTTATTTTTTTTTTCCTGCAGCATATTCCTTGTCCTCTTTTTGTCCTGGAGATATGGAAGGCTTGTTTCACGGGGCTCATTGAGTCACCAGAGGGCACTGAAGAACTGAAATGGACCGCCTTCACTTTCCTTAAAGTGAGATTTGTTTTAAAGAGGACTGTGCTTCTGTTTTCCTTCTTTAGTGTTTTGTGTGTTTTTCACTSTAAATTGATCCTGTGAGCTGGTACTAAACAGTCGATGTTTAGCATTTTTTTAGTACTCAGTACTCCTTTCTTTACTCTGTTTATAAGTCAGTACTTGTGTTTAGAGCAGTAATAAGTTAGTGTGTAAACTGAAATGAAATATTGCTTCTTTAAGCTGCCATCATTCACCACTTTACAATTTTATTTCTATCTTTGTTTTAGATCCCACAAGTTCTGCTGGGACTAAAGACATATCCTCAGGGCGATAAAGGACAAGTAAAACATTTGACTGAATATCAAAAGCTCATACGTGTAAAGTCCTGCAGTGTTTTTGTCTTCTGATTCACTGATGCTTTAAAATATTCCGTACTTATTTTGTAGGATTTCATGGAGGATGTAAACATTGCATTTCAGTACTTACTTAAGCTCACACCACTGTTGGATAAAGCAGATCAGAGATGCAAGTAAGTGTTTAGAAATGTTTTCTACAAGCGTCTTTATTTGTTTCCAATTTATCTTCTCGATCTCTCGTTCTCTTTACGTAGCTGTGACTGCCTCGGCATGCTTTTACAAGAGTGTAACAAGCTTGGACTGCTGTCCGATTTAAACACAGAGAACCTCACGTCAAAACGGTAGGCATTTCTCTAAAACTGCTGAACACGCTTCTTAGGAATACAACACGAATGATTTTACTGCAATAGAGACTGCATGTTCTGTTCTTGTGTGAAATTTAAGACTGTAAATTAAGACATTTCACTTCCACCCGAACCCCAACTCCCATCTCTCCTCCTCTACCCCAACCCCCACACCCGTCCCCAAATCCCCCCCTGCACATTTTCTTTAGGACTGTGGACAGGGAGTTTGCCCCAAGGCTAAAAACTGCCGAAAATGCAAACATCCAGCCTAACCCTGGCCTCATCCTGCGAGCTGAGCCCACTGTCACTAACATTCTCAAGGTAAAACGCCAGAATGGACACTTGAAGTGTGGCGAGATGACAGCTCTGCTTCATTACTGGAGATTAATGTCGTTAATAAGGAGGATCAAAATTGACTGCATAAACGGCCGCTGCAGATCAAAGAGTTGAAATTAATGAAATTCTTTTGTGTCACTACCTAAAATGATTTGGAAACAGCGGACTCCTTTAATCAGTAGCCCATTTTTTTTGTTCCCTGTTCATTAGACCGTAGATGCAGACCATTCAAAGTCCCCCGAGGGCCTTCTCGGCGTTCTTGGACACATGCTGTCGGGAAAGAGCCTGGATCTGCTCCTGGCAGCGGCAGCGGCAACCGGGAAACTCAAGTCCTTTGCCAGAAAATTCATCAAGTGAGTTCATCTAAACTGCATCTGCAAGTGAGGACAAGTAGTGCCCTCAGTTGACACAGCTTTTATGTAACATGAGAGTTTTTGCACAGCTGTCCAACTTTTTTCTGTCTTCTAGGCTGAATGAGTTTCCTAAGCACATCAGTGGAGAAGGATGTGAGTTGAGTGACGAGTTCCGATGGGGTGAATTTTTTGATGTGCTTCTTCTTTTGAATGCTGATATGTGTCTGAGGATGTTTCCTTCCTTTTCTTCTTTAGCTAAGTCTGCATCTGTTCGAGCTCTGCTCTTTGACATTTCCTTCCTCATGCTCTGCCATGTTGTTCAAACGTACGGTTCAGAGGTGAGTTAACGTTGACAGTAAGTTTAAGACCACATGATGCCCAGAAAGGACCGAATGAGAGTGACCCATTGGTCTCTTCAGAGAYTCTGTACTGATTGATGTCATTTTAGCAGAAACCACTGCACCTGTCCCTTTTTCGTTTCCCACTGTAGGTGGTCTTATCAGACCTCAGTCCCTCAGGAGAGACACCTTTCTTTGAAACGTGGCTCCAGACCTGTATGCCTGAAGAGGGCAAGACTCTGAACCCAGACCACCCCTGCTTCAGACCCGAGCCTGGTAAAGTGGAGAGTCTGGTGACCCTGCTGAACAACTCTTCAGAGATGAAACTAGTGTAAGTCACAGCTTTTTGGTGTAATTCATCCGATTATCACCTGTCCGCAGATAACTGGAGTCAACCACAGCTAACCTCAGTAAAGTAAACATGTTCTATGATACTGTAAAAAGTTTGTTTTCTGATTTTCATTTGTTGTGACAGTCAGGTGAAATGGCACGAAATCTGCCTCAGCACTCCAGCTGCCATTTTGGAAGTCCTCAATGCGTGGGAGAACGGCGTGCTTTCTGTGGAGGCGGTCCAGGTCTGTTCCCCTCCTCGCAATATTATTTCGGCCTCTGAAATATTTTCCCGTGAATTTTCTCAAGTCATCGTGGCTTTATACTGTATGATGCTTAGTCATCACACACCCTATAAACTGTAGTGTGACTCATTACTAAACAGAGCAAAGGGTGAAAACGAAAAAGAAAAAACTCGGAACAGTTACGATGTCATGCAGCCAACTTCTCTTTTCTGTTTCTTTCAAGTGTTTTTCGAATCCTGGAATGTGGAAGGATGTCACTTCCATCAAATCTGCCTTTTTTTTGCTTTTTCCATTCTCTTCATTTGTCTAACTTCACATTTTCCTTCCTCTTTTCTTAATATGGTGACATCCATGTTGAGAGTAGAAGATCACTGACAACATCAAGGGGAAAGTATGCAGCATGGCTATCTGTGCGGTGGCGTGGCTGGTGGCCCACGTCAGGATGTTGGGAAGGGACGAAAGAGAGAAACCCCAGACGATGATTCGACAACTTGTGACTCCTCATTATGCAGAGAACACCCTACAGTTTTATACTGAACGGTATATCACTTATTCATTCCTGTGATTTAGATGTTTTGTCACTGCTAACGATCACGTTCTCCTTTTGACTTTCCATCAGCGTGGTCATTATGAGTTCCATCATGGAGCACATGTGTGCAGATGTTTTCCAACAAACGGGCGCGGTGCTGCGACCCCCGGTGGAGGGCCAGGAGCCGATCCCGTACCGCAACCTGCTGCCCGCTAAAGAACCCATCCATAAGGCCCTCAGCCAGCAGTTCCAGACGGTGCTGCGGAAAGCCTGGGTGGACAGTCGAGCTTTTCATGTGTTCGAGAGTCTTCTCAACATGGGAGGGGTCTTCTGGTTCACTAACAATCTGATCAGGGTAACGGGATTGAAAAYAAATGCTCGGTGGCGCAAAACTTTCATTTAAGCCCTAACTTAAGGCTTTTATATATATTTTTCAGGAGCTGCTGAAGGAAACTCGACAGGAGTGGGCCATTCGGGTCGTGGAGTTGCTGTACAGCATCTTCTGCCTGGACACTCAGCAGATCACCCTGACGCTGCTCGGGACCATCCTGCCCAACCTGCTCACTGACTCTGCCCACTGGCACAGCCTTTCAGACCCTCCTGGAAAGGCTTTGGCCAAGTAAGAGCACTTGCCTTTATGCTGATGGCAGCAGCACTTAAAGTGTGTTTTTAGCATTAGCTTTTTTTCTTCCTTCCCATGATGCCTCAGGTTGTCTGTGTGGTGTGCGCTCAGCTCTTACTCGTCTCACCACAAAGGCCCCTCCTCGGCTCGTCAGCGCAAAAGGCAGAGAGAAGATATCGAGGTGAAACTGTCAGGAAAGGTTACATCAAAATGACCGTATAAAGCATGTTTTYAAACACTTCTGTTGTGATTTCTGGTGTGTTCTCGGCTGCAGGACTACAACAGCCTGTTTCCTTTAGACGACACTCAGCCCTCGAAACTTATGCGGCTCCTGAGCTCCAACGAAGACGAGCCTGCAGCTCTTTCCAGTCCAGGTTGGTCTAATTAAGTTTGTTGCACAGYTGACTTGTGAAACTTGAGCAGGCGTTTGTTTCTCAGTCTGAGCTGGGGATTATTTAGATATCGAAACGATTAGCAAGATTCAATTCAACAGGCTGCTTCTTGTACACATTGGACCTCATGCAAGAACATGTTCGTATTCTAATCCTAAATTTCTCTTACTTTTGTTCGTACAAAGGGTTCGTACGAACATGTCACGTCAGATTCAACAAACTCTTCTATCTTCAGGAAAAGTGTGTAAATGAGCTGCGTAATTTAACCCGTTCGTATCCAGCTGCTCGTGCACACGAGAGGAGATTAGCATAATTACCACCCCAAAAACACCATATAAGGCTATGTTTCCTGCCTCAGATATCAGGAAGTGTCCATTCATGAAAATGACAGCGAAAACTAAAAAGAAGAACTTTACAAGTTCAGAGATTGAAGTCCGTCTGTCAGAGATCCAGGAAAGAAAATCTGTCATTTTTAGCAGCTCAGCTGTGGGATAAAAAAGAGCTGCTAAAAGTATAAACAACAACTGTGTTAAATCATTTTCATTTATTCAGAAGACACACCGTCGCGCACCGAACACCCCACCCCCCGCACGCGGCCTCAAGTGGTCTCAGTTGCGGTTCTGAAATAAGCATTTTAAAATGATTTCAAAATAAGTCTGGCACTTTGAAAATCCAGGACTCGCTGGAGGGATTATGTATCCCCTCTGGCCTGGGAACGTCTCGGAGTCCCCCAGGATGAGCTGGGAAGTGTCGTTGGGGAGAGCGGGGTCTCTCTACTGCCCTGCGACCCGATCCCGGATAAGCCGGCCGGACGGACAATTTATATTGTTAGTCTAAATTATTACATTTAAAATTATAACTCTAATTCAAGCAGAATAGCCCATTGTCAACATAATTATGGAGTGTGATTTATTTTCAACTCAGAATATCTTCAAACTAATGAAATATAAAGTTATTAGTGAAGAAAACCCGTCTGGATAACAGCAGACTGRCTGTTCGTAAAATATACGACAGGTCTGGACCACTCGTAAATTTTGTTCGTATCTGAAAAAAATCTTAGAATACGAAAACATTGGTGAATGCCACAAATTCTCCTAAATCACTCGTACGCACAATTTAAGAACAAATCTGTGCGTACGAACGGTTCTTGCATGAGGCCCATTGTGTCTAAAGCAAAGAGATCAACTCGGCTTCATGTACAGATCTCTTTTTTAAATTTATTTATTAGATAATAAGCTGGCTTTTCTGCAGGTTTTAACTCGAGCGCTGCTCTCGTGACRTTTGCGCTTAAAATAACGCAGCACTGATCGGCAGAACCTGTTTGGTTGTGTTCTTCTATTCATTCATCTTGTTTTACTCCATCCACATGACTGAGCTCTCATACTAACAGCTTTGGGAATTTTAGATTTTACTTTTGGCTCCAGCTTTAAAAAGAAATCCCCAGACGAAATGTTCCCTGACTTAAGAAATAAAATTCATGAGTTACTTTACATGAAGTTGTCAAGATTGAAACAAAAAGTGCCCTTTCCCCACAAGTCAAACTGGAATTCATTTAGAAACCGTTAGTTGCTGATTAATGTGCCACAATCATAAAGACACTGATGAGTGAATTTGATCATTTATTATAAAACAAACTTCTTCCACTATGACACTTCCCAAATATGGGCTGAAATAAAACTTTTGATTCTTGAATCACCTGCTTCCACTCATCCTCACACAAATATGACTGCAGTATTAGGCTTTTAATTGTTACTATGAGCTTGATAAATTCAGAAGTGTTCGTTTTTTACAGGTCACATAAAAACATCTCATGGACACAGAAAAGTCAAAAGCACAAATGCAGCACAAACACAGTTTTTTCACAAGAATCTTCAGTGAGCTTCTGGTTGAAATCAGGTCCTATATTTATCACTCTTGTAGTCTGTAGAGATTTCACAAGCCCAGCTTTAAAGCACATTCCACATACTTGTGTTGGGATGATGTCATCACCTTAAAAAAGCTTTTCGAGATGTTTTTATCTGTTCGACAAGCAGATTTAGTGCGAGTTTAGAGTTTGGGCCCTGAGAGTGCCCTCAAATCTAATAATTTACTGTGAGAATATTTCCACTGGAGGTAAAACAGTAACACATGATTGTACCACCACTTGGTACTGCTTGGGCTTCTTTTCTTTCGTCCTCTCATACATCAGGAGATTATGACCACAAAACAGTAACTTTTAAAACTGTTTCAACCTTTTGATTTTGATCATTCAATTCAAAAATAGACACATCCTGCTTTTAAATCCTTCTTTTTCACATTTAGATAATTCAGCTGGGGTCTTTAGGAAGTGGAACTTCAAAGCTTTGGTCTCAGATCAACTCGTTTTGAGGCTGTCTCTTTAAATCCAAACGAAGTGATTCTACTTTGATAGAGGGGTTTACATCTATGTAGCAGCACAGAAACTTGTTATTTACAAGTTAATAAAAAGTCAACAAGGGAAGACTTGTCCATGTTGGAGTCAGAGTCTGACCCAGAGCCAGATAGGAAGACCACCACATTGTAGTTGCTAAGTCCAGACTGTATTTGGCAGTTCCGTCGCAAATACTGAGATGTAATAGTTCAGAAAGTGTCACTGGGATTAGAGAAAACTGAACGGGTTGAAAAATACGACCCGAACAGAAGCTAAAGGTATCAGACTCTGAATTAATATTTTCTGCACTCCTAGAGACTCCAACATAACAAAATGCTTTGAATAGTTAAAAAAGTGGATTTTGCATGATATGTCTCATTTAAATTGCCCCTAACATTCGTCCTGAGTTGTGGAAATTTGCTTCTCTGAGCTTTTTGGACTCATTCTGTGGATTGATCAGACCAGTGTACAGTTACAACTCTGAATCTGATCCAAGCTTTTCTGTGCCGTCACTGTGAGTATACCAGTTAAATATAGTCAAAAGTCCAATCTGAAGTACATTTTGGAGCTTTACGCACCACAGAAATAGGATCTATGTATCACTTTGAAACTGTTTAAGAAAATAATAATAATTTATGGATCGTTGGCACCAAAGGCTTGTTGTTGGTGGGAATTCTATTATTTTGCAACAAAGAAAATCTGTTTAAAACATTTATGTGACGACCCAGTCTTGTAATAACAGTTTTATGGATTATTTGAGTCATGAAGTCAAATATGAAACTGAAATATCTTCAAAATGTGTTTTTAGGAAAAAGCTATTGTGTAATAATGTAGTAGAAGGAAACACTGGTACTCATGCAACCTTTGTTTTAAAAACTATTGTGTAAAACAACACGTCTCTTGTGACATTCAGCTTCCTTCTTTGTTTTGTGTTTGGTTTGKTTTTTTTTTTTCTCCTCGGTGGCAGTGGAAAAAATGAAAAGTTTCAATTTCATCAGCTGTTTTCCCCGTGTTTCTTCACAGGAGATCGATCTATGAATAGCTCACTGTCTGCCTCCCAGATTCACACCGTCAACATGAGGGACCCTCTCAACCGGGTCCTGGGTGAGACTTTGCTCTTAGATACGTCTGAGGACAACACTGTCCAATAAAAGTAGTTTTCGGTACCATTTAGTCACAGTTATCTGCAATATTTAAGGTTCTTAAAGATAATATTGTAGTTTAAATTCCTACTTCTAAAATGTATATTGTTTTGTCTCTCTTCTCTCTCCAGCCAATCTTTTCCTCCTGTTTTCCTCCATCTTGAGCTCCAGGATGGCAGGACCTCATACTCAGTTTGTGCAGAGCTTCATAGAGGAATGTGTGGAGTGCCTGGAGCAGGGAAGCCATGGGAGCATTCTGCAGTTCATGCCTTTTACAATGGTGAGCAATGAGCTGGGAGGAACCAAAAAGGAGAGCTGGATGGATGGGAATGGAGAGGAGTGACTGTTGCATCAGATTTTGTTGGAAAGATGTTGAAAGACCTCCTTAAAAYGTATTTTTGTCTGACTAAACTTAAAGATGGGAATGAGTCAAAACATCATGATTCATAGAGGCTGTTAGTTCACTTAAGGTTTAAAAAAAATTGAGACAGCATTAGAAATGAAACTTTTTTTTTTCAGCCTTTTTTTTTAAATCTTATCAGAATCATGTATTTGTAACACTGACATATTGTTATACTTCCAGGGCAGGAAACCTAAAGAAATGTGCAAACATGTTCTTGTTTCCCCCTTAAGTTGAATACATTTCTGGTACAAAGAACCAGAGCAAAGGTCAAGTGTCTGCATGAAGAAGGGTTTTGGCAACACAAATACCCACTGGAATGCTTCTCCACACAGATTATGTCTGATTTGAGTCATTTGTCTGGTTTTTTTTTTTTAAATTTATTTATTATTTTCTTGGTGCTTCTAGGTTTCTGAGCTGGTGAAGCTGCCCGCTTTGGCCAAACCTAAAGCTGTGCTGGCTATGACCGACCTGAATCTACCTCTGGGCCGGAGAGTCGCTGCCAAAGCCATCGCTTCTCTGTGAGCTGGAACCTTCAGTTGACAAATTCACCCTCTGTTCTACTACAGGCAAGATGTGACAACAAAACATTTTTGAAGGACTGGATTTTCTTCTACGTATCTCTTTTTCTGGAACACATTTTTTCTGTATTTTAACATTGAAAGAGTTGATTATACATGTTTTGGAATAAAAAGAAAAGGAAAAAAAACTATATAGTTCTTTATTTTTATTTGCCACCTGATGTGGCGTTATTTGGTTTGGTGTTTTTTTTCCACCAGATCACGTTGTTTTGTCTTATTTTGGACCAATCATCACAACCCTCTGAGGTCACAAGCTCACATGGCTTTTCACATGACACGAGCGAATCATCCTTCAAGTGACACCGCCGCTTGTGACACTCCCCGAAGGAAATGTGTGTGGCAGAGGGGAACAAACGATGACACCAAAGCCTCCGTTTCACTTTTCGTTGTGCTTCTTTGTTACCGAATTAGTTTTAGTGGAACTTGAGACACCGATTCACCATGAGGCAACAAAAGGCCACAACCTGTTGAGTCACGCCGTTGTTGCTGTTTATAAAGGAGAAATCACTTTGAAGTTTTTTTTTCAGTGTTTATTTAAACTTCACAAAATACACCTGTAGTGGGTATTTAACGGTAATACAAAAATATTCATTTTTCATTAATTAATCCATATTACACCTGCAAGACAGTAAAATAAGTGGTAGTAGCTGGTAAAATGAATTCCTATATCTGCTTCTTTCTTTGTTTTCATAGATATGTGCGCTCTGCTGGCCTCTGTTAGGGCCACAGCTTTATCCAAAAAAAATATTTTACATTCTGTCCGTAGAAATAAATATATAAATAGATTAAAAAAATAAATATTTTTCAAACATAAATAAATAGCAAACCAAACAATAAAAATGGTGACAAGATATTTGGCTTTTGCCAAACAAAGATGACGACATCTGTTGGTCAGCTGTCGTTCTCCTCCTCCTCCTCATCGCTTTGCTCCAGACTCCTGAGGACACGGACCATGTCCTGGCCGAACGACTGGAGCTGCACCAGAGTCAGGTGTGTYGCCACCTGGACCTCGTAATCCCCCGGGAGGTGTATCGACAGCGGGGCTGTGGTGGACTGCACTGCCGCTTCCGGTTGGACCATTTTTAACATCTGAAATGGCAACAGAAACAATTATTAACACACACACACACACAAGAGAGACAGAGAGTTAAAAAGAGTAAAACTGATTCTTTTTTACCTTCGTGATCTGAACTGCCACATCTCTGATGTCATCCATCAGATCAGCCACCTTCGTTTTCACCTCCAGCCGAGGGGACACAGAGCTCAGCAGGCCTCGGTGCAGCAGCAGACCCTCRTGCATCCGTCTCAAACTGCTCTCCTACAAGAGAAGAAGAATCAGAAACATTTTTTTTAATGATTTGTTTTTGAAGCCTGATTACATCAGACTCATTAAAGTTGCTTACCAAAGTGAAGTTTTCTGAAATGGCTCTGAGTCCAGGAGCAGGGGGGATGCCGAGGATGGACGCCATGGTCTCCAGTTTGACATTTTCTGAAGAATTGAGCTGCAGAGTCTGCAGTTAAAAAGAGACATGAGGAAATGAGTTTACAGAAAACCGGAGGGCTCAAAATAGGAACAAAACATGTTTTATTATTTAAAAATCACATTTTGTGAGCATAAAGGAAGTAATACGAGTAAAATTAATAGTAAAAGTCATTTAAAGAAAAAAAACAGGAACATTAATTTAAATATTGAAGTGCTGCTTTTATGCATTTTTTGTATTGCTTATGCCTCTTTGCAGCGTCATCTAAAACTTAATTTCCCAACAGGCATCAAGTGGTACCCAAAATATTTTCCCACACATGCAGCATAAACACATCTGTATGATCTTTGTTTTAAACGTTTTAATGTACTTCATACAGCAGGAGGAACTAATGTGAAGTAAAAATACCTTAAAGTTTCTATGAAGTACAGAACTTGAGCTTTGATGTGGAACATGTTGAGATTTTTTGTCAATAAAGAAGCAGCAATAAAAAAAAATTAAAATTTAAGTGTCAACTTTAAATGTAGAAGTTATAAAAGCTCATTTCTGCTACCTGAACAAAAAAAAAAAACATTCCCATAATAAGTGTTCCATAGTCCAAATATGACTTTATGGGTCATAATTACACAAAAGWTCAGTTTAAAACTCGTAAATAGGACTTTGAAATTCATTATTATAAATGTATCATTATTATGAGCTACAAAGTTATAAACATAACTTTATATGTAATATTTAGAATATTAACACTTTATACTTAATATCACAATGCTGTACCTTATAATTATTACATAAATCTTAATTGACTAAATCTGATAATTAGAACTTTTGATAATAGCAACTTTTCTAATTATGACTTTAAAGCCTATAATAATGACTTAATAATCCTAATTCTAGCATTTAAAGTTTAAGTTCAGACTAAAACTCTTAATTATGACAGATCATGTGATTTTTTTTTTCTTTAAATGGCAGATTTAGGCTTCCACAGGAAATAAAACAAAAATACATGTTTTCTGGTAAATCCTGACAGGAAGCAACAAGCAGAGCTATAATGAGCATGGTTTGCTTTAACTGARCATAAATCTGGAGATCTAGTTGGTGACATTCCAGACAGATTTATGACAGAGACTGCCTTCACACTGAGTCCTGGCTGAGAGCCTTTCAAATCTTAATTGTGACGCAGCAACATTTAGATCTGCTTCAGTCTAAAAGGGGCTAGAATAGAATAAGAATAGAATAATAAAAAAAAAGCTTGCCCACCCCCTGTGCACAGAGTGTCTGTGTAGCCTGTCTCTTACCGCGGTGTGAATGCAGGACTTGTGCGTGTCGGGAATCGAGAGCAGGACCTTTTGTGTCAGGCTGCGGCTTCTGTGCAGAATCTCCTGAAAGTGCGGATCCTCAACAAGTGATCTGAGCTGRGGCAGGGGAGCGCCGCGGGCGGTGGAGGCCATGTAGCAGGCGAGGAGGACTGCGGGGCCCACAAGCCAAAAATAGGAAGAAAAACAAATAAAAGTCAGCGCCAAGGCATCAGAACAAGCTCCTCTATACCTTCAGCCCAGTGTGTGTTGAGGACAGAACAAAGCCCGGCTCCCTGTCTCTGCTCAGCACAGCCCCAGTGCTCTGCAGAGCTGGGCACGACCCCCCGCAGACCCCCACCACCACCGCCACACCTCCCACTCCCTATAACTCAGGGGCAAGYTGCACTGAGTGAGAAAAGTCTCTGTAACATGAAGCCTGAGCCAAAAGTGACAGCAGTGGCTGGATTTAGTCTACCTGAGCAGATGTAAATACAAGAAGCACTTCTGTCTATTTGATACAAATACTAATAAGAGCAGTCAAAGAAATGAAAACCTTAAAATGAATAAATGTTCAGTAGCAGACTGTCTTCCCTTTCAGAGTCTTTGCTGTCACTGGAGGTGAAAGAAAAAGAGGAAATGGCAATGAACACGCATTACCTCACTACTCACCAATCAGGACATGCATGGCCTCAGCTGTGAAATCTGTTAGAAGTATTGACCTCCAGAGAGCACTAATCCTGATTTACAGTTCACTTATTGACATGTATATATAGCAGGTCCCAACACAGGGATTTCCCATAACCTTATCTCACCAAGCATGACACAAATTTTCCTTTGAAATTTACACATCGAATCTTCCTTTATAACTCAGCTCTTCTCAGGACATAAAACTCAAGAGTGTAATGAATTTTCTCCAGGCATTGTGTCTAACGTTTAATAATTCAATGTGTTTCACAATAAAAGCCGTGCTATTGTAAAAAGACATAACAATCACTATCCGTTACCAGGGACATATTAATATTATTAATCCAGATGGTAACAAAATAAAATAGTGGTTGAATTTCAAAAAGTGATCAACCTAGTAGCAAAAGGAGTCATTACAAATGTTAAAACATAAAGGTGAAAGTATAACTTCAGCTTAAGTGTTGGAACACAATTTTATCCTGTTTGTTCAGAAAAGTGTATGAATCTATGGAAGATCTTTGCTGCCACAAGCAAGAAAAATAAAACAAACACATCACCATGAAAAATCTATTTAAGTTATATTGTTGTTTTTTTATTCTATTACTGCATCTTATTTCATGTTATATATACATGCTTGCTTATGACGTAAATTATTTGTATTTATAAAGTAGGGATGTTCAGATCAGAGTATAAATCAAGGCATTTGTGATCGTCAATGTTATTGTTAATTTATTTACATTAAAAACACCAAAAGTTGACATTTTACATTCACTGACATACATTTCAATCAGGGACTTGTGTCATTAAGAAACTTCCTAGTATTGGAGTGGATGTTATTCTCAGACACTCGCTAAACAACCATCACACAGCAGCCATAAGAAAAAATCATAACGCAAAAAAATAAAAATATTAATAATAATAATAATAAGACAATTTAGTACATTTTATACAAGTAAGTACTTGCTTACTTACAAGTAAGTAAATATTTACCACAAATAATCACCAATTTTGATTTCATTACAGATAATTTTCATGTTTATTAAATAATTTTGTGATTTTGCCTTTCTTGTTTATTTTCCTGTTATTTAACCAGGCAAATCCTATACAGATTGCAGATCTGTCTGGGCCTGAAGGTGACCTATTGTAAATGGTTTTGAGTTGCCTTTAGTTAGATTATGATAAAACACAGGGCAAAAAATTTTATAGGCAAATGAACTTAGTACAACAAAATAAAACAAAGTAACAACATAAAAAATAATAATTCCTTATTGATTTCTAATAAACACAATTGTTTTACTAAAATGTCATTGGTGCAAAATAACATAAAAGAAGTACCAATTTAACAAAAATATAGATAAACCAATGTCAATAACACAACAAAAATAAGACTAAATAAGACTAATGATTAACTCCAATTTGGAGACTCTGCATTGCTGACTGTATTTTTCACTTTATTTGTGGAAAAATAGTGAAAAATACCACCAGTAGTGAAAATAAAGAGTAAACAAAAGAATCAATGCCATCATGCTAGTATTGATCTGATGCTCATATTCATGCTGATAGTATCAATACTGAGATCAATATTTAGATCAATACGCCCACGCAGCAGTGTTAGCATTGTCAGTTAGCAGCACCCCATATTGATCAGTGTAACATCATCAGTGGAGATTATCATTTCATTAAAGGATGACAAAGAGTTATTACCAACATTGTTTGTGTTTACAAAATGGAAGAMGTTTCAAAATAATGTAAGTATCAGACAATCCTTATTTTTATTTGAATCAAATCAGTGCAAGGCACAAAAATCTTAACCATGACATCCTTRGTTTGAACAATATGCCATCACATTATTACACGATAGAAGTTATGTTTTCACATCCTCCACCCTTCTTTCATCAGAACTTGCCACAACAAGTGAATTTCACACAAAAGATTTAGCAATTGTTTTACGTCAGACGTTCTTCCTGCCACCACCTGGGCTCAAATGAGTTCCAGTTTCTTTTGCAAAGATAAGAAACTCTAGAAAACACTTTGAAATACAATGTATTCTTTTATTGCTGTTTTTTTTTCCTGCATTGATGCAACAAAGATTAAATGAGAGGAACAATTACTCAAAACGTCAAGTCATGCATGAAGTGGCTTGAAGGAAGCTGGCATTTCCTCTGACAGCATGAGTGAGAAATTGAAACTAGTCACTGAAGACTAAATACTTTTCTGAAATCTAGGATTTTTTTTACGATAGCCTCATTTGTTTCCTATGGAAGCCCATTTCCGCCACACTGATAAAAAATAAATAAAACTTGTATCTCATAATTATGACTTAGCTATCTCATAATTATGAGA